AATAAAAACAAATTTTAAGATTCTCTCTGAATATTAGCAACGGAGATATGTTTTGCCGTTGTTGTTGTTGTTGTTGTTGTTGTTGTTGTTGTTGTTGTTGTTGTTGTTGATGATGTTGTTCTTTTTGGAGGGGGGGGGTTGTTTTAAATATTTTGTTTTCTTGTTTGTTTTGGTATACTATTTTAATGTCTAAAGACAAGCGCATAACTGTTGGTATAGAGCTTACTTTCGTCCAACTTTGTCCTCAAGTGGACCGCATGTTTTTTGTGGGGTGTGGTTTGTTTTGTTTTGTTTTGTTGCCTCCTGTTACTTGCAACGCTCATTCAATTTCCTTGTTTTCCTTCTGATTGCAGTGGAGAGAACTCGTGTTTTGGCGCGTCGTGCCAAAGATTTGTTTCCTGAAATTACTTCCCCGGATTACTTCCCGAAGCTGAAGAAGAAAGGGAAAAAGGGGAAGGTGAGTTTGGTGTATCTGTTTGTTTCTGGTTTGCTGGTGTATGGCTTTTGTTATTGCTGACTGTTGTTGTAGTTGTTGTTGAAGATGATGTTGGTGATGCTGTTTTGATTATAACTAAGTCTAATGTTTTGTTGTTGTTATTGTTGTTGCTGCTGCCGTCATCGATGTAGCTGTAGCTGTTGCTTGTTGTTTTGTTACTTTTCGGGGAGGAGGGAGAATGGGGGGGGGAGGGATCAGAAATCTTAGTTGTTGTTTGTTTGTTTTGAAAAAATGTGTTTAGGCAGTTATTTTATATTCCATTATTATCATTGTCGTGACATTTTTTTACTGCCGTAAATTTATGCCTTTGCTTGCCCATTCTAGTCCTGGATCATTAAATAATGTCTGCCGTCATGCTCTAAGTCTTCAGCGTGCGTCTAGATTCCATCGTCTTCTTGCTCATACTATTTTAATTTCTTTTTCTCACTACTTGCTTTGTTCTACTCCAAACTCCCAAGCGTGGGTTTTAACGAATTACCAAATGCCCTCCGGTCAAAATCATCTATAATTTTATTATTATGCCTGCCAAACCTTAGATACACTTCTATAATAAAAGAATTATTATTGTATCTGCTCAGTACCTAGTTTTGAGACATTAGCGGTCAAAAAGTTTGAGTTTCACAATATTTAAACTTTCTGGAATGCAGTTCTTTGAATATCTTGATAACGACTCTGTTTAATCTTACGGTTTTGATAGAGCATATTGAACATTGGTTTCTGACCTCAGGGTTATAGTAAATCAAAACGGCCAAAAATGTCATATAAAAGTTTGAAATTCTGAGGTAGCGACAGATCAATAAAATGCTCCTTTTTCTATAACTCGGTGTTTCAGAAAGACAAAAAAGTGGAACCACCGCGGAAGTTAAGGCCCGATGAGATCACACCTGAAGTGATTGTTGGAAGACTAGACGACAAGAGGCTGTCTCAGGTAATGAGCATGAGTGCCCGTGGATCCTTGATCCTCTTTTAACCAAGTCGTACACCATACCATGAGGTATTTTGAATCAAAAACCTATTAGATATAATAATGTTATGTGTCTGGTGAGTTTTGTTTTTTTCTAAATAGAATTGCACTATGAAGTCCTACCCTATGACGTATTTCTGGTTTCACTATAGGAACGTGCCATTAATTTAGCTAAATGAAGGGCAATTGACGAACGTGTCGATGGGAAAGTTGCGGCCATGATAGTACACGATCTAGGATATCATAACACATGTTTATGGCTTTTTGAAGGAGACTGGTGTTTAATGATGCTGTGAAATCAGATACTATGTGTGCCTAGAGCACCTTGCATTTTTTAAATATAGCGACATAACAATGGTGCCATTCTTCATTGTCGAACGTGGTTTGGGAGCCACCACGTCGTTTTTTTCCGAGATGCGTGTGTGTTTGTGTTTGTTTGTGTGTGTGTGTGTGTGTAAAAAAAAAGAGAGAGAGAGAGAGAGAGAGAGAGAGAGAGAGAGAGAGAGAGAGAGAGAAAGAGAGGAGAGACAGAGGGAGAGAAAGAGAGAGAAATGGACACGGAGAGAGAAGTGGGAACCAATAAGTGTCTGTTGTCATGAATACGCTGTATCATTCCTCCAGCTGACCAGCGAACCGGACATGAAACAAATGGAGGCAGAGATAGACAGACTCAAGGACAAAATTCGAGACATTCAGATGCGAGTGGAACAAATCGCAAGTGAGTTTTTCATAACTGAATTCGTTGGCTGGAAGTGGATGACTCTTTGTTAATTTATCTTATACCTAATATATTTTTCATTTTTTCTTTTAGAGGAAAAAAAATGGGGAAAGGGGTAATTGATTTACTCACAATTTGATATGCATTCGCGTTTAACTGTATTGCACGGGAATGGGCACTGTAGAAATTATATGCAATAACATTAGTAGTAGCAGCAGCATTAGTCTAACATTTTTGTAGATTTGGACATAGAGAAGCACGATGCAACTTTATTCAGTGCAATGGAAATATTGTAACAGACAAATAAAAAATAACGGG